CTGCGGAGAATTTGTAAATCGTTCCTGCTAGGAACGCTCCGTTATCGGACAGTTACCGCAACCCGGCGGTCTACCTCCTGAATTTCTGAATATATACACAATATAGTCTCTCTGATGGATAATGTTCCGCGTTTACTTGAATAACGCCATTCCGGAGAGAAAACGAGCCTCTTGCGCGCGTCGTCGTCTGTCTACAACCGCGTATACTCGTGTCGTATAATGGAATCATGTAGGTCACACTCGGCTCACACTGCGAAGATATGTGTCAACGCAGCGGCATTTGCAATCGAGCGCGTCACGCAATAATAAACGTATACATGCCGGCGATTTAATATTATCCGACGATGAAGCGTCGCTGCTCATCCCGTAGCGCGGAACCTTTTTTTTTCGCGCACCGAGTTTCTCCTTTTGACTTTTCCATTTCTCGCGTTATTGAGCAAACAACCTCTCATTGCGCCTCATTCTCTCATGGACTCGGCTGAACATCTTAAAGGTTCTGCTCAGTTAGAGTTAGTTAAGAAGTTTAGTCAGTAATTTTGTGTGATATAAATGAGAAGAGAAAGAAGGGGAGGGGAGAGAGAGAGAGAGAGAGAGGAAAGTAATTTTTATTCCCAAACAAAAAATTGTGGCAAAAAATTGAAACGTTCTCTTTTGTTTGCGACATAAATTTGCATCGCAATATTGTTTTTCACAAAATAGCGACGTTCTTTTTTTGATCCCATCGAGGAACTTTAAAGTGGATAAACTCGGATAACAAAGATAAGGCGCTTTGGCTTGAAGAACTTAAATAGAGAGAACTTAAATAGACACAAGCGAGTTTCTTTCTCCTTTTTCTCTCTCTCTCTCTCTCTTTCTTTGGCGGTTGTTACTTATGCAGACAACCCGAACGAAATTAGATAATTATACAGAATTATACAAATGCCAGGCGTTTTATGCATCATGCGTTCGGATTGACGTTTTTCTCGGAAAACATTCTCGGCGTTCTTGCGATGTTACACACACAACCGTTATTCACGAGGGCGATGCGTGTAACATATTCCAGTTAACGATTCGCGAAGAGATTGAGTCGTAAGCCAACGCGTTGAAATTCCGCTCTGTGGCACATGTACAAGAAGATGCGCACGAAGAATGCATACACCGGGGGATATTTTCTATCTGATGAGCAGTCAATTCCAGTGAACGTCCTGTCGGTTCTTCGTGATGCGCGCGGCTGTGCAATATAATGGAGGCAGAGAAGTTGGTCGAACTGTATCAGCTTTCCGGAAAACTGTGCGAGAGTGTATTTTAGTAGATGACGGTACATTGTGTTTCAGCGCGTTCCCTTGAGTAAACATTATTTATTACTCTTCTAACCGTCCAATAATAAAACGATAAAATGAGAGCGATAAAATAAAGTAAACAGCGTGTGTGTAAGTATCGTTAAACTTATCGATGACTCGATCGGTCGAATCTAATTTCGAGACCGAGGTACAGTTGTATTTGTATAGTTGCTAAAAACGACTATACAAATGTTATTTAAAACACATTTAATTGATCCGCTCTAAAAACGAATATCAGTCACACGCCAAAAAGTAGAACGAACAAAAACTACACGCACAAGTAAAACCATATAAAAAGTATTTTGCAAGAGTTCTCTACACATTTTTTTGTTTTTATTATATATGGAGATGTATAAAAAAACATATATATATGTATGTAAAAAAACCAAGTTTGTTTTAATACGATGAATTTTACTACAAGATGTGAAAAGTGTGGTTTTATAACAATGAGTATAAAATTTTTGCGCACGCATAGAAACGTCTACCGGCGCGATTTTTTTTCTAATTAAAATTCTATTCTTATCGCTCTGTTTGGCCGATGAAAAATCGAAGAAAATCCAGGAGCCAAAAGAACAGGACGGGCACGGAGACGTTTATGCGACTCATTTATTATGATTCCTTAATTCGTAGAAAATAATAATGACAATGTACATTTCTATATAACCTTTCGTTCAACAAAGAAAGTATAATATACAATTACAATGTACGCCGCGCGCGACCGTGAGAGTCTCGTTCGCGAGAGAAGAGAAACGTTTCGATATCTATTTTCTTTTTTTCTCTTTTCTCTTCCCGCCGGGCGGCTATGTCAGAGAACAGACACAAGTATCGTCCTCTTCGTCGCAACGTCGTACACGAAAATTCATCTATATAACAATTGATCGTTTCGCGCGCGGAAGAGAGTTTGCGAGACGCACCCTCTTTCATCCGTGTAAACACACACTTTCACGAACGATTTAATCGAAATGTAACATCATTCTCCTAATGGCAGTGAGGACAAAAATTCTGCCGATAACAAAGAGAAAAGTATATTGGCGCGACAGGCAAAAAAAAAAAAAAAAAAAAGAAAAGAAGAAAAAAACTGTTAACGTCGTCCCGCGCTTCGGATATTAAATTTCCCGTCTTACGTATCTGAGACACGTAGCGACTCGTTACGCAATTGCCTCGAGTTAACATGCAGAAATCGCAAGTAACGAAAAAAAAACCACAAAGGGAAAAAACGGTCGTCTTTTGTTCTTCGCACCTTTGCAAGGAAACACTATCTCGAAATGGGCCGCTACGATCACGCAACGTAGACGAAGAAGAGTCATTACGTTAATGCGATTAATATGGTGAAGCCGCGCCGGCGAACGATGCTCATGTCATCGGATCGAAAAAATATACATTGCGCTTATTAAATATATATATATGTATATATATGTATATATATATATGTATATATATACACACACATATGTATATATATATATAGTTATACGTATTAATATATATATAAATTGTATTTACATTACACCACACCTCTTAACCTTTTCATTTTCGAATTGTGATATCTTAAAAACATAGTATTTTATTTTGCCAGTGATTAACCTCTGTGCATTATGTAGTGTAGTGTTTTTTTTAGAAATCTTATCGAAAATCAAAAGGTTAATGACGCGTGTACATATATATGTATATATATATATATGTTTCTCTCTATTCGTTATCGAACAAACCGATTTGATTACAAATTATAATCAACTATTAATTAGTCGAATGCACCAATATCTCGTGATGCATCATTAATTGTAAGTATTATCAAGTGTCGTTAAGTGAGAGAGAGTAATACTGTTCATATTCCATAGTCTTTAGCTATAAATTTCTTTCTATATATAGTACTAAAATGTCAAGTTTCGGAAAGAGAAAAGAGATATGAGCACGCGCGATCATTAATAAATTAAATTATTAATTACGTAAAAGATATCGGTGCAGTCGATTCTAAACATTTCCGTTGAAAATTATGTTTTTATATCTTTTAATTATTTATATTATATTTAGTTTCCTATAGAATTTATTCCTTTCTTCGATCTAATATCTGAAAAAAAGAAATAACACATTTACAATTTTTTTTTACAAATATACAATATGTTTTTTCAAGAGTTTAAATTAGCAAAGAAAATACTTGTTTCAAAATTTAGATTAATTAATTTAAACTCTTAAGTGTTTGATAATTAAAATATCTAATTTTTTTGTCTTTTTGTACGACTAACTTGTTATATCGTGTGTACATTTAATAAATAATTAACATACGGATAATTTTTTTTTTCCTAATTTTCTCAGTGCCCTTCTAATATATTGCACTTTAAAAATCTTTTGTTGCCTCACAAGAAAACCTCACAAACAAGAACAGACAAGAAAACTAGCAAACTGTATAACTTAGACATTCTTACGTTTGCGATATAGTGATAATTGATTTATCGCTATATGTAGTTCAATATAAAATGTGTTTCTTCTTAAGCTCTTACAAGAGAATCTAATGAATTTGTTAAAATTAGAGTATTAAGAAACAAATTAGCGTTGGACATAGAAGAGAGTAACAATTTATTTGTTAAATAAAGTCAGAATTTTAACTAAATTCTAGCGCGAAAATGAATGCGAACGTCGCGCCCGTGTCGCATAACTTTTACCTTTGTCTAAAGTTCTTTTCTTACTTGTATCACATCGTACATTTTTACAAAGAGAAATATTTTAATGATGAATGTCGTAATATGACTCCGACAAATTGATCGCAATTGTATATAGTTGTACCGTTTTATATAAAACGTCTGCGTAACAACTTAATTAGAAATCAGTCTTGCCTAAATTAAGCGTTGAAAATTAATTTCACTTTTTTAAAATTAAAAAAAAAACTCGATATATTACTTCTTTTTTCAATATAATAGAAGCACAAAATTTATATTGAGTTAGAGAGATATCCAATGGTTTATCCAATATAGAACACAGGTGTGTTCTAGTTTGATATCGAAAAATTTTTGCAAAGTTTGTATGCTGTACTACATACGTCCTCCCCGCGTATTATTTTTATCGGTAAACAAAAGCAAAAAAAAAAAAAAAAAACGCAGCGCCCTGTGTGCACACATAAATATTTCATCCCCGTAGGGCATCGTCTGCAATGTGAACGTGTGGATTTTAACGATGTTTATAATATTACATAAATTCAACAAAAGCAATGTCGACAGATTGACAGCAAATTGTTGCCTCTTTGACGACAATGTTTGTTTTTGACAGATTTTCCTATTAGAGAAGATATTGTCAAGTGAAATCCTCTCTCTTATAATACTTCATTACTACAATTATTGTGAATAGTGTGTTTCGTATACAATGGTATGTGTAATGCGGCACTTGCCTGCGACGTGTCGACTCGCACTCAGAAAGACGTGTGTATGTGTGTGTATGTGTGTATATATATATATAATATATCGTAATATACACTGTGTGTATATAAATATATATGTATACATATATATATATGTATATATATTTTATGTGTGTGTGTGTATATACATATATATATTTATATATATATATACTATATACCATAATGTATACTGAAGTTCAAAATATAATAAAACTTATTTATTTATATACATATATATATATATATATATATACATATATATGTATATAATGTCATTATATATAAGCAATATTTACAAGAAGTTCTGTTCACGATATTTCTGACCTTTCATTCGAGAATAACGATTACAATATAATGCTAATAATTTCAATTCGATTATTTAATTAGATAATTATTATACATAATATATATATATATATATATATATGTATAAGGATTAGGATCTTCCTCCTTCGTCCTTCTCCGTTTTAATGTATCTTACAGACGGAACGCAGCAAGTATAATAATGAACATTCGAAAAGATTCGAATGTGAAATTTATAAAAAAAAAAAAAAAAAAAAACACAAACTACTAAATTAATTTGTCAAATATAGTTTTGCCAGGAAGTTAGATTAATCTTCTTAAAAAAAAAAGTATGCAGAAAGAAAAAGGAGAAAGGCTATTTGAAGAGTTTAACACGATATTGTATTATCAATCTTCTCCTTTTTTGTCCGAGATAGCAAACTTCAAAAAATAACATGTTTGTATCTTGCTCGAATGTTTAATTTCTGACTAATTGTAAATTGTGAATTAGAATTGTGGTTTTTTAAGTATATATACTTGGGCGGTCACAAATAATCTTCGTAGAACTTTACGATATCTGAGTTCACATATTATTTCCTGATTAAATTTACGCACGCAATATTTAACTCTATGCGAGAAAAATATGTGTGCGATTAAAAAATTTTTTTCTCACACATCTTCCGTTTACATTTCTTAAATAGGCCCTTAGAGATTCGTTGTTATAGAATAAGATATACATTACTCTGATTACTAGACGATTTAAATAACAGGAACTATACAAGAGCGAAAGGGATAAAAAGACAGATTAAGAGAGAAAGAGAAAAAATGCTAGTGTTACAGTAATGGCCACTTATACCGCAATGAGTCATTCCTTTCATATTTCGTCGAGGAGCTCAAGCGTTGTTTAGTTTACGAGCTGCCCGAGGCAATTTATTCCTTCCTCGCGTCTCTTTTGTCTAAAGTCGCTGACGCTTTCTCCTTGTCGTGCAGTCAAAGATCTGCCTCTATTGAAAAATAAACAAGTCCGTAGTGAGCTCTCTAGAATCAATATGATATAAGCGGTCACTATCGTGCTTCTAACTGAGGTTTAATCGCGAAAAGTATCTCAAAACCTTGACACGAAATTGCTTTCACGTGCCGTAGGACGAGGAGGCCTAAAATTTCTTAAGTGATCTTTCCTTATTTTTGTTCTTTTTATTATTGTATATTCAAGAAAGATATAGTCTGTCGCAATGAAATTGATATTACGTAATGACGCGGATGTGGCTAAGGAGAACGAGAGAAGGAGGAATTATAGCTGTTAAGAGTGCGGTAGATCGATAGTGCGTGTCTCGTTGCCCAAAATCAAGCGTAATCTCTTCATGGGTGGTGGTGGCGGTGGTGGCGGTTCGAAAGTAAGCTCGCGCGATTTCTTGTGCCGTCTCTCGCGATCTTTGCTCTTGTGCTTCTTCCGTCGTTTACAATCCAATCCTTCGACACGCAACACCTCGTACTCCGGTTCAATGCTGTCCTCGCTAGTGCCAGACTCGGTAACGTCTTCCATCACCAGCGATCGCTTCATGCGCAAGGTCAGCTTCAGCGATCCGGTCTTTTCTGGTGTAACGGGACAAACTCGACAGTTGCTTGAATTGTTCATCTGCCATTGGCACTCGGATGAAGTCACATTTGATTTACGTGTGCTACTGCTGCTTTCATAGGCTGTTAATCTGAAAGAAAATGAGTTCTTTTGTTTTTTACTTACATTCTTGAAAAAAAAAAAAAAAATGATGAATTTACATTTTAAATTTATTTGAAATAACACATGTACAATAGAGTTCTCCGTGACTTAAGCCCTCTTGACTCTCTTGAGTTAAGGCCATCGACTCTCACCAGTTAGGTTCTCCTTTCGTGCTGTGACCCCACTATTGTACATTCGCGCTGATCATGCGCAGAACAAATCCTACATACGCATGTCAAGCACGACTCGAGAGGGGAAACTTAAGTGGTGAGATATTAGTTCCGACGACTTAAGTCAAGGGGAACTCTGTTGTAATCATTACAATTTTTACCTTTGCAAACTCTTTTCAACATCACAGTTTTCTTCCCATTGGGCACTGCTATTGGAATCCGCGATATGTTTGCTTTGAGCCGCCGCATCGGACGGAGGCCACGGCTCTTCTGGAACCAACACCGGTGGCTCAGTTTTATTGTACTCGTCGTTACACTGTATATCCTGTATAGGCGATACGTGGCGTGATTCATGCTTGCCACGTATAGACAATATGCCAACGTCCTCCAACATGCTCTCCTTTTCGCTAAATTCATAGATATCACCCTGAATACCCGAATCATCGTCGGCCTCGCCGATCTCGGTCGTTGTCGATCTCCGTCGATCCCTCCTCTGGCTTCTGGTCGATTTGTTCTTGCTCTTGTTCGATTTACGATGATTCTTTGTCTCTGCGATTTTGTCTTGAACACTTCCTGTCAACAACCTAAACTTGGACTTGGATTTGCCGCTCGATAGCTTTTTCTGCGACTTACGAGACGATCTAGCTCTCCTCATCAATGTGAGAACAGGACTCTGTTCTCTCATATGACCTGTTAAATCGCTATCGTAATTCACAGTCTGTATGTTATTAAAGTCCGTTGTGCTACTTTCTTCGATAATATCTACTCCGGAGTCTGTTTCTGTCGCGCGTAACGCCGATTCTTCATATTTGTCGGTTTCAATCTTCGCATCAACGTACGCATCACTTTTTTCAACAACGTTCTCCTCTTCCTGGCTCGAAATTTTGCTACTACGACACTTTATAACATCCTCAATACTGACTTTCGTTTCTACAACTTCCTGGGAATTTAATCGACAGACCTCGGCACTTTCCGAACGGCTTGCCGCCATTGCGGGAACGATTGGACTCGCGCAGCTTTCGCTCTCCACGTCTTTTTCCATAGTGTACTTCTGTATCAGTACACTGCATTCAAGAATTTTCGCGGGGTTTACGTCGCAGTTTTCGTTTTCCAAACGAGAACGGGCTCCGTCGTGCGAGATGTTGCTCTCCCGGAAATCTGCGTGTCGCAAAATTCTCTTATCTCCAGCTACAAGCAATGAATCGTCGTCGAAATCACAAGACGATTCTTCGTTCGGTGTCTTACGATCGTCTCGTTCGTCTAACGATAAGAGTCGTTTGTTGTGCGACTTGGATCGTTTCTTGACACAAATCGCCCGTTCAATCGCTGCGCAAGAATCGTTCTCGACATCTCGCACGGGTGACGAAGAATCACGATAATCTCTAGATCGACATGTATTACCATCGGAAATCAATTCTGCAGTATGTAAGCGTTGTTGTTGTACATGGATTTGAGACTTGGAACTTAATTGGATTGAATCACAGACGTTTGTACTATAATGTCTCTTTTTGTAACTGGAAGAATTAACGTTATCTACTGCCTTAGAATCGATCTCCGCGGTGATATCCGGTATTTCTCGTTCCTCTTCGTCTGCCGGCTCACCAGCGCCATTGAACTCGCTGGCGTCATCCATCTCTGTCAATCGCAGCGGACAATCGCTTTCGGTCGAGGATTCGGTCGAGATTTGCCGTCGTAATTCATCCAAGCAAAAATCGTGGCGCATCTCCGACGTGTTCGACGAATGATGCTTCTGGAGTCGCGAGAACAGATTCTCCTCGTGTACCGATAGTCTGTCGGAATCCTCCTTCCGATGACCAATATCTGCTACTTCCGTATCCTTCGGACAAGGCAATGCTGACTTCACACCGATTTTTCCTTTCTTCGATTCTGTTCTCTTGTGGAGCCTGTACGAATGTTGAATAAAAAAACATTTAATTAAAATCGAACTTGCAAATCGAGTTCGCAAATGAATCAAATAAGTTACCTAGACGATCTGAGTGATTGAGTATTTTTAATGGTGCCGCTTTCGCCGGTGTTGCCGTCAAATTTGCACATCTGTTTCTTCCGTAAGTTTCTCGTAACGGAAGTGGTGATCGCAGCAGAATGCGGTCGGGCCTGCAGCACGTTCTCGCCATTGTTAATCGTTGGCTGTTGCTGATTAATATCCGAGAAACGGCACCCTTGCGCAATTAGTAATTCGGCGTCGTACTTCGTGAGACCTTTACGTCGCAGTTCTTTCATGCTGAGAGACTGTGGCGCGACTGCCGCGTTCCCAACCAGAACCGCGTTTCGCTCGGTCAGAGCGGTATCGGCTTGCTGCTTGTTCCTGCTCACTGGCTGCTGTCGGTGTTTAGTTCGATTGATTCGATTATCTGTTTCCCTCAGACGATAACCTAAAATAAAATGTAGTAGACAACATGTTTTAATGATTTACATAATAAATATTGCGTCTAAGATACCAGATGACAGTTCTTCTCCCGGTTTCTGACTCGCAAACGCGCCGGTTCCTCGCCTCTCGCAAGTCTCGCATTCACAGTAACAGTTCCCATCACCGAAGAAATCCTCTCCGTAGAAACACGTGATTTCTTCGCCCACCTCGATGTCGCGTAATACCTTGACGCACGCCGTGTCTCTTCCCGTTGCCACAAACTGCATACAAACGGTACATAAGCATCAGTAACGTAATTTTGTATTTAAGCAATTTGTTTCAATTGCATTCAATATTAGTTAACGCACCTTGCAGTTTGCTCTACAGTCATGATTTATATATGCAGCAGGACCCAACCATAACTGGGCACAGTTCTTTCGACAACTAAACATTACAGAGAAATCGTTTTTTCCAGGATGTAGCAAGGCAGCTTCCTCCTAAACGCACATATGTAATATTAAATAACGATAAATAAATTCAAAAGTAAAACAAATTTAAATTTAATTAAAAAATGTAAATAAAAATTTTACTTAATTTTAATCAAATAATTAAAATTAAATTAAAAACTAAGTTGTCAAATCCAAAATTTTGCATATATATTCTATAAAGTTTTAAACCTTATCGCTAAGCTCTGCAATGCAACCGACAAGACAGGAAATTTTGTCATGTTTTAGCCATTTTCGGGTTGCACATATTTTTGCACCCTGTTGTCCTTCCATGGTATATCTGTAGCATGGTTCTATTGCAAATCCAGAATCTTTGTCAAAAACACGTAAATATCGTTTGATCTAGAAAAAAAAAACAAATTATAATATCTCTTTTTATAAATAAATTTTCTTTTTTATTTTAAAAAATAATTTAAAACAGCAGTAGCAATTTAAATGTGCACTATTTCTAACTTACATGGTTTTCCAAATTGATTTGTTGTTGCTTAGATTTTGTGTGGGGAAGCCGTGCACCCCAATCTCCGCCCATTAATTTTTTATATGTTTTTTCATAATTTTGAGTTTGTATAAATTCACAGATAATTTTTCGGAGTTCATCTTTATTTGCTTTTAATGGTCTATACCTGTTATATAAAAAAAGAAAAAAGAATTTTAATAATCTATTAGTTTAGTCACAAGCAACATATTATCGCCAAATAAATTGTTCCATCCAGTACCTAATATTCATTTTATGTGTGGTAAATCCTAAATAAGGATCTAACACAAGAGATGTGGCTAAGTCGTCATTGTCAGAAAGCTCCTTAGGTGTCATTCCACATCCTCCACCACTGTTGGGTTGCATCTTTGCACCCACTGTACCACCTAACCTTCGCTCCTGCTTTCTTACTGCAGTTGCCGAGGCTTGAATCGACAAGCAGTAATCCACCACCATTCTGCAATGCTGACTTTCACTAAAAATAGAAAAAAAATCACTTGTTTTGCAATGTTAGTGAATTTATTGTAGTAGATTTGTTATTGCATTCTTAATACGTTAAAGATTATTGCACTCTTAGAGCATATCTATGTGAGGAATATATTTTATTGAATCATCAGGTTTGATGGTGTATCGTATTGTTTCAAACAACTTCCTCAACAACTGAACGAGTCAATTCCATTGACACAACCTCGTATCCACTTCTATACAGTCCACATCAGAGACTTCAAAGTACAATGATTGAAACAAAAAAAAAAAAAAAAAAAAATTATCACATTTATACCGAACACAGTGCAGACTTGATGAATTTTTTTCATCACATTGAAAAGATATTTATTTGCACTTCTTAAAGAAATTCCACGGTTGCACGCACTGGGGAATCGATATTAAAATTTGTTTTAAAATGTAACCTTAGCGCTGTTACAAAGTGTCAAACATCACAGCAGAAACACAAGCGAGAGAATCGCGTGACACTTAGGCGCACATTTAACTTCTTTCGACAGCACTAAAGAAAATTGTATCGACAGAGATTTCTCAAATTAAGTAATACTTGAACAAAAAATCACCATCAAACCTGAAACTCGATCGTGAACTTGAGGACGAACCAAGCCCATCGAAGCGAGCCACTAGTGAAGAGAAAGAGGGGACATCGCACGGCGTGCTACTATTCACCGGAGTTGATCAAGGAGCACGCCGTCCCTCAGAGAATCGTCCTGCGAGACGCGACGTCGCGACGAGCAGCGTCGCTTCGGGACATCGAGAACGTCGCGTCGCCAAGAGCTGCCTCTTGTCGGAAGTCAGCGCCACGGATGAGATGGACGTCGTCCGATCCCTTCGTATCGACCGGAATACTGTGGCGGCCTACAGGCGCGCGTCGACATAACGGTCCTCTTTCGCTAAGGAGGACTGCGGAGGTGTGCAGAGGACGGACCCTCGGCCGTTTCGTCGTCCGGGCGATCGTCCGTAGGCGACGACAGGAACGCGTACGCGAACGTATCTTAATGGCGGGGGACGAGAAAAAAAAAAAAAAAAAAAAGAGACGAGGCAGGCTTGCGCGACGACGTAGAGGACTTTCGTCGTCGCAGGATGACGCCGGCGTCACCTTCTTCGACGCAGAACTAACGCGAGTCAACTTCTGTCAACTTACCGCGAGCACACTCTCCCGAGAAAGGATCTCTCGCATCTTTCGACTCCGTAAAAACTAGAGTAGCGCAGCGACGTGCCTCTCGTGTCGCGGCAGAGACGCGTTTGTAGTAGCTATCATGGCAGGTGTAGAACTCCGAATAGGATATTTGACACAGCAGCACGAGAACGCGAGACAATGCGACGCGACGACCAAGAGAGACTCACTATACGGATTCGTCACAAATTTTTTTTCTTTTTTTTTTTTTTTGTAATTTTCTCCGCGTGCGTACGCGATGCAACGCGACGCGTTCGTGTATCTCCTTGCAAAATTCGTTGGCAACAGATGACGATGACGATGACAACGACGACGACGACGACGACGACGGCGACGAGAGCCGTCGGCCCCGCGTCCCCGACGACGCGCCTCTCGCGCTTTCTTCCTCGATTCCTCAAGCACGAAACAGATAGGAAACAGAAAAAGTAATATAACAACAGCCGAGTGTCAGTTGCGATACGGACTCATGTTTTGAAATGTCGCACAATGTCGTCTCGCGTATTCACAACGTCGTGTCTCGGACATATGCGTGTCCCTCGTCAACGAGAGGAGCGAGTGCTGCCGCGCTCGATCTCATCCGCTTTTCGCGTCGCCGCGATTATCGCGACGCCGTGCCTCATCTCCGCGGCAGCGCTTCGAGATTTTTTTATTTACTCGTGGCCTGGCCAATTTAACCAAAAATGCATGTGACTTATAAACCATTCGATATAACAATTAGATATTGTTTCGCGTAACGAGCCTAGTGAATCGCGGAGGTGATTCCCTCCTAGTGATTTACGCGCGGAACAGCAGGGCATGCAGCGCGTTTTTTCGCTCTCCGAAATGAGAATTTTCCTTTTTTTTTTCTTTTCAGGGACAATTTTTCGCGTGTTACCTGCTGGATCCGAACGAACGTCTTCGAGATAATCCAGAAACATTTATTGCATACAATTAAAAACAATTTTGTAAAAACTCTTTGCTATATTTATATTACACATTTTTATACATTTGCACGTACCTACACAACATGTACGCACCACAGTCGTGCGTAATTTTCTTTAGTTTTATATCACGAGCAAAAGAACAAAAAATGTGAATTATACATTAAAGCTTTGATACGTACGGTGCTTCGATATAAGTAACTCGGGTTTTTTTTTATTTTTTACACAAATAAAAACGTTTGATGTCAATTTTTACTGTTTTACGTTACAACGCAAATTGTCGCGAAGTGAAATAAGGTTAAATGTCTCCGAGAGGTTAGAGTTGCCAGTTCTCTTTAATGGAGATCGTAGGTCTTCACGCATGTGCTTGCGCAAGCGCCAACTTGACAGCGTGCTGAAGGAGTATGGAATGTAAAAAAAAAAAAAAAAAACGGACTTCTCGATAAACATATACAGGGTGTCCCAGAATTGCCGTACAATCTCTCGTAGGCAGGTAGAAAGAGTAAAACTGAGTCAAAAAGTCCTAAACCATTTTTTTCTATTATTTATAATAAAGGAGTAATTATTGAGTAAATCAGGCCAATCAGCGCAGACCTTTAGCCAAGCACACGTCAGTGAGCGCTCACACACACCAGGCGCGCGGCTCACTGACGTGAGCGTCTGGCTAAAGGTCTGCGCTGATTGGTCTGATTTACTCAATAATTACTCCTTTATTATAAATAATAGAAAAAAATGATTCAGGACTTTTCGACTCAGTTTTACTCCTTCTACCTGCCTACGAGAGATTGTACGGCAATTCTGGGACACCCTGTATATGTATTAAAGTCACTTCTCTCGCTTCTCTAGTTTCTTCGTCTTCTGTAATATCGAGCTTATATTGCTCCACTCTCCTTATATACGGTCCTGTAAGCGCGCGACGCGTCAGTCTTCGCTCATTTGTTGGCGCAAATCGGCGCAGCGAGCACGTTGCATATACGATAGCTCTCATAGATAAAATTTTTATATATAATAGGTATATGATATTTGATCGAGCAAACGCACGCGTGATTGTTAAGAAAAAAATCTCTTTTTTTTTCTAAAAAGCAAAGAAAAATCTCCTCGTGATGACAACGGAAAGTGTCGCCGGGCCGATCGGAACGGACATGCACCACGTGCCGAAGGAAAACTATATGAAATCTATAGCTATGCCGGGAAATATCAAAGCTGGAGTGATCGATTTCGTGGCCGGTTCACTTGGTAATGTTTCCAGCAGAAACGTATAAATCATTTCTGTGTTGTTAATTAAATGTGTTGTGGTTCCTCGATGTGCGACTCGAGTGTACAATATACATACAATTTGTACGCCAAGTCTGTGATGCTATCTTTTTGTTTACTTACGAATATACGTGCTATCGGGCGAATAGAAAAGAGTGGACATGCGTGGCAAAACGCTGATGCAAGAGCAAGCATGCAGTGGAAATTGCCATGACAAGTTAGTGGGTTTGCATCCTACTTAAGAATCGTCATTTATCGTGTTCATACCGAATTGCGAAAAAATAGAGAAATAGTAAAAATTTATAGCGGTTGTTTTGAAACAGCGATTTAGAATGTAGAATCGAAAAATGTAAAAAAATATGGAAAAATAAAGAATTGAAAGTTTATATATCTCAAAGGGGTATATATTTTACTGTTTGTAGGAGAAACTCATCTTTTTTTTTAAAGTAGATTAAAGAAGATAACACATTTCGGAATTACGATGAGTCTACGTGTTATCTTCTTTTACGCAACAACTGATACACACAAGTATGTTTAATCAAAAAAATCAGAGCGAGAAACAGAGAGAGAAAGAGAGACACTCCGATCTCTCGTGAAAATTAAATTCTCGTCGATTTTTGTACACGTGTAAAAAACAGTATATTGGACTAAAAAAGTTGAAAAAAAAAAAAATATGCGAACAACTCCGATATAACTTATGTTTGCATAAATTATGCTATGTATTATTATTTTTTAATTTTTTTTCCAACAGGCGGTGTAGCCCTCGTATACGTGGGCCAGCCGCTGGACACCGTGAAAGTGAAGATGCAAACGTTTCCGTCCTTGTATAAAGGCATGGTCAATTGTTTTCTGCGTACTTTAAGAACAGACGGTATAGCAAGGGGTTTGTACGCCGGAACGATCCCGGCAGTAGTCGCTAACGTTGCGGAGAATTCGGTGCTGTTCGCAGCTTACGGTGGAGGCCAAAAAGCAATCGCTCATTTATCAGGTAAATCGTAATAAAAGACTTGGTTACATAAAGAAAATTGAACGGAAATCACACCTTGCTCCGAGCTAACGTGCAAACTTTTTCTCATAGGAGTGCAGAATGTGAAGGAGTTAAGTTCCTTCAGTAACGCCTGTGCCGGTTTTTTTGCCGCGTTCTTTTCCTCGCTTACATTATGCCCGACCGAATTGATAAAATGCAAGTTACAGGCGATGAGAGAAGTCGAACAAACTCAAACAACTAAAACAGTCAAATCCGTGGTGATTAATTATCAAAAAATTTTTAACACACATTGTTAATTTCGGATGGCAAAGTTTGATAACGTCGTTGTTCTTCAGAAATCTCGCATAGGACCATGGGATTTGACGAGACAAATTTTGAGGGAACAGGGAATACGAGGCCTCTTCGCAGGTCTTTCGTCGACGATAGCTCGCGAAATGCCAGGCTACTTCTTCTTCTTCGGCGGTTACGAAGCCACGAGGGAATTGCTGGCAACGAAGGATCAAAGCAGAGACGATATCGGCTGGCAGAAGACGATGGTGGCCGGCGCGGTTGGCGGTGCGATGCTCTGGCTAGCGATATTTCCCGCGGACGTTGTTAAAAGTAGAATACAAGTCCGTGTCTTTCCTATATTTTGAATTTTCATCCTTTTATTACCGAGAGTTACATCGTTAATGTGTGAACTCTCGAGAATATTGAAAGATTTGTAGTATCTTCTTTTTTCCTGTAACAAAATATCTTTTCTGTCTCGAAACAGGTACAAAATTTGAAAACACCTGCTTTACTGGTGTTCAAAAATATTGTGAGACAAGAAGGAGTCGGCGCGCTATACAACGGACTGATGCCAACTCTAATAAGAACAATACCAGCGACCGCGACTCTATTCGTCACAGTGGAATATACGAAGAAATTTATGTACGAGTATTTTTGAATGATAAGTCGTATTCCTGCGGATTCTTTTTTGTACTTATATTGTGTATACAACGCAAACCTGATATTTATTCTGCAAGAGAGCATCAAAAAGTTTAGTTCAATTGAAATAGTGAAAAAAAACTGTCATATGTGTAAACCATACCTCATGATTCCAAATATAAATAACAGAATAATATGCAAAATATATGCTTTGACAATAATATATAAGAAATTTTTATACAATATTTTTGTTAATAAAAAACATGGTTGTTTTATAATATACATTTTATCTAAAAGAATATATATCAATATCTATTTTTAATTGATCGTTCAACTGATTAGACGATATTTTATAAATGTTCAAAATATTGTAGTGTTTTTTGTATGTATTATATATNTATATATATATACAAACACAGACACGCGCGCGCGCACACACAGCAAACCATAACGCGCGTGAGCTTAAAAACAATTATAAAATCTGTAATTAATATAAAAGTTTTATAAATTTTTAGAACAGGTCTAAATTGACCGAATTGATTGAAGCCGTAAAAATAAATTTAAAAAATTAAGAAGGTTTTCTCTTTCTCGTTCTTTCTTATATCATGGTTACAAGTCGAGATATACATTATCAAAATTCGTACGATATTATCTGCTAGACTGTTCTGATACATCATTCTTAAATACAAAGTATTTAATGTAATTACACTTCTCTTCTATCGATCTACATTCGACCCAATTATCGTGCGTTATCTGTAAAATAGTTTTAAATGTTTGTTAATTTGTTATAATAATCTAATAATAAAGGCTGAAATTGCATTTTGATCGTAAGTATTATAAAACTGTATGGTCAAATTTGTTTTTTCTTTCTCTGTTATTTGAACCACTACTCAATTAATAATTATTAATATTATACTGTACTATTTAATTAATAACTTACTAAAAGTGGCGTGTATCCAATTTTGGACAACTGTCTTATTTTCGCCGCTAAAGGTCCAGTCGGTAAGTTACTTTGTCTCAACAGAAGAAGAGGATGACCTATGACAAGGGCGATCCACCTGACGTCATTCCATTCCTCTTGGTCTACGCGTTTAATATCGCTCGGAGCAAATTGCGACAGAAATTCGCTCGTTGGTACGAGCTGATTTTGTTTGTCCAGACAGAAGACAATGTCCGGCAGCAAGTAATGAGGCAACGGTCGAATGACCGATATATTCGACATTGTATTGAACAATTCCTGTTACGCGCGAAGAACATTTATAAAAAGAATATATATGTACGTATAAAGTAAAACAATTACATATATTGCAACTAAATAAACATTGTGTACCTTACATGTTTCCAACACACTTGTGAGAAGCACATTCGAACGACTTTTTTCTGTAGAAGACTTGGAACTATACTGGAAATGTTTCTGCAAAATGTTCGCGCGATTAAAATTTCATTACTGGTGTATAAATTATCTTCTCAAATCTTTATAACATCTAGCGCAAAGTTTCGATTAATTTGCATACCCTCTCTAAAAATGTGAGTAAAGAAGGTTTAAGAAACGGACCGTCGTACTCGGGCACTTCCACCTTAAGGCCGTAATCAAGTACACAGTATTCGCGTGAGAGAACGTGATAGTTTCCTTTGCTGGATGCATGAATATATTCAGGTGACATAACATGCTTGATTAGATCCGTAGGATAAATACCCAGTACCGCCAAAAATCCAAGAAGACGTGAAGCTACATATGGAAACCTATCGCAAAAAATTCTCATAAATATCTCTGAAATGCAATGTCTTTTCTTAAGAAAAAAACTTACAAGACATGTAGTTTAACTAATAAACCTTGCTGAAAATATTTTCTCATTATGAGCTTACTTTGATATCTCGCTTGCTCGACTTGTGTCCCACGTAGTCCTCAGTTCTTCAATTACGTTTTTATAAATACTGTTATTTGGGTCAATGTTAAGACAAGAGAAAACAAAGATGAGTCTCTCTATGTCTTTTAATCTTGCGGTTTTTAACTCGCTATTGAATCTAAAATTATGTTGATTGTATGCTTTAATTATCGAATCTCAGTAGTTTAAAAGAAAAGGTGTGATAAAAGAAATTTACCGTTCGATTATTTTATCTATGATCTCCTTATCGTATAAGGCAACTTTTGCACACGCATGTGCAATATGAATCAGGGACATCAGTGTAAACCGCGATGTATGTGGCGCTAGAACTTTCAATAACTCTTGAAGTGTAGGAATCTGTGTTAATTGCATACTAAATCTAAAAAGCAAGAACGTTGAATTAGCATCGATTTATATTAACAAAGACAAACTATTTGACAGACTATAATATTTTACCTCATCTGTTTTAAGAGAGCTCCTATACTAACACTATCCACAACATCTACTTCGGCAATAATTTTTTTAATTATACGATGTAAGAACTCGCCGCTTCTGAATGGTGTGCCAGTTTTGAAGAATCCTAACGATGCTACACCTAATTCGTTAATTGATAAATCATCCATATATTGTTCTAAACAATATTCAAACTCATACATATTTATGGGTGGTTTTCGACATATATTCAAAAAGAACAAAACCTGCACCAATTCGTGAGGACTTAGTCTGTGTGGTTTGGCACCTATTTTCTTCATAGAATACCATATGTACTGATTTTTCCAAGGTGTATACATTGCCAGATACATTGTGTCGCAGAGTAACAGTGTTTCATTGATAGGTAAGTTTGAGAAGCGCTGTATACATTCTTTATCCAGGTAATCGCAAAGAGTTTGATAGAATCTAAATTTCTGTAAAAGTTCTCTAAGTGGCACCAGATGCTTTATCAGTGTCAGTAGATCATCATTACTTAACTTTTGATAATTTGAGAGCAGCATATTGAAGATATTTTCATATTTGGCTGGATCAATGCTTTCTTTGCTGTACAAAATATTATATGATAATTTCTTAACAATCATCAAGATCTGATCTTGTGTTATTAAGTTGCACTTCTGTTCCAGAATCTCCAGTGCCTCCTCGTTGGTGATATGAGCGTATGTTGTATTTTGTTGCATTACGGTATTCTTGTAATGGGTTGAGTTCAGAAACAATTTGCGAGCATAATCGTTCTCTCTCATCTTTTCTTGTGAATCAACTAACAAGTTCTTTGTCTCATTATCGACGACGTGCTGATTGTCGGTAGCGAGTACAGCAAACTCTCGATTCCAATGCGAATTGAGCTTCGTAAATGCCACATGATAAGTACGTGGCCACATTAAATTGCTGAGCTTACGCTTCGAAAACGAGTCGATTACACATGGATAGTTTTTTTGATAATATAACCTTATCATCCGGCAAGTGCACCGCATAAGAGTTAACCTTTGCGCAAATACACTCATTGCGGAAAATTAATTGGATGGATGTCTAGATTGAGAAATCATTTACAACAAGTTTTCTTGTACAAAATTTGACAATAAAATCGAATTTGTCATACAAATTTTCAATAGAAGCTAGACTTTCTTATGGAAAATTTATCAATCGAAATAGATCGTGATTACCATCTCGATCCGAAAAATATAGCTGTGCACTGCACAGACAGGATCTCCCTCTGGCACAAGATTATTTACTTGATTTTTTGTTTGTTGAGTCCGTGCTACATCTCTTCTTCACAGATAGCGCTTTTGACCATAGGTCTGTTCTTTTTAGAGCTAAAACTTACACAATTCATCTTTTTCTCTTCACAGAGAAGATGGCCATGAATTTAAAGGCCGAAGCACAGACTTTTGCATAATGCACAACGCATAAAGAGAATCAACCAATCAAAGCTTTTTAGAACAAGAAGTAGGGATGAAAACGAAAAACTGGATTGGTCGATTTTCTTATGTCTTATGCGTTATGCAAAATTACAATTTTTCATATGAACCCTGGCCGCTCTCAGTCTTCTCTCTGCTTTTTACTTCAAAGAAAAAGAAGAAAAAAAAACCAAACCAATCGGTTGGATGTGCGTAGTTACGCTGTGAATATTTTTGGACAATTGTCGGTGTTTTACACCACTTTCTTTGTTATTATCTTTAATTTAAACAAATACACAACTCCGTGGCTTGGCGTCAGGAACCCAATCCACGGTTTTAAACCTGTTATCAAAAAAACATAGAATGGCGTATGGACTAGCTTTATAGGTCCAATGAGCCAAAAGAGCACCAAAACTAGAGTCCCTGTAGTATGAGTCTGGACACAGTTGTCTTCAATATTATTGGTTGTGACAAAATATGGCGGAACCAATAAGATATCTTAAATTTATACTTCACGCGCGGTATTATTCAATAGGGGATTGAGCAGAATAGAAAAATTATTAGGATTAGAAATTAAAAACAGAGATTAAATGTAATGCACAATGCAACAAAATAAAATATAACATAAATGAATATAAATATAGGTTGTATATCATGCAACCATGACATACTTCCTGTATTTATGTTATATTTTATTTTTTGTCATTGTATAGTACATTTAACTTTTATTTCTAATTCTTATTCTTAATATTTTCTCTATTGTGCTCAGGGCTGTGTTCAGTTAAGCAAGATGGAACGAACTAATGGAGGAAATGCAGGAAATACAGGAATTGGAACTAATGAATTCCTGTATTTCCTGCATTTCCTTCATTAGTTCGTTCCATCTTGCTTAACTGAACACAGCCCAGGCTGTAAGAATATATAAGACAATATAAGAAGATAAATTTGTTATTACGTTTTATTTTACATATAAAAATACAATGAAATACAAGTATATGCACACAATAAACACATAAAAATACAAATATTATTAATAGTAAAATAATATTTAATAAAAATAAAAATATTATTTAAAATATTATTTAATATTACTTTTTTACTTATTTTATAATAGCCATTATGTCGTGCAATAGTTTTACTATTATAAATTTTATTTTTTAATCTACCTTTCTTACAATTAATTTTTATTCGAAGTGAAATGTACTTACATGTATTTTCTGTCTTTGCGATGCTTACTTGTAACGTGACTCGATTGTTTCTTGATCGTTTCCGACGCCATGTTTTGTCAAATTCCTAACTGTGTCCAGACTCATACTATAGGGACTCTAACCAAAACCAAACCAAGGAGAAAAAAATGAATGGTGCAAGAAGTTCAGCTAAAAAGAACAGACCCGAGAGAAGCTGCGATGTAAGCGCCACGTTTTGCGCATACATTAAGGTAGTTATTGAGCTTCAGTGGAGCTCATCCACTTGTACTTGTGGCGTACCAACAAGTAAGTGTAGAAAGTAAAGAAAAAATTGAGCACCACTGACACGCACACACAGAGTTCAGCATATATGTGCGCGCACTTTCTCTCCTCTCGTCTCTTTCATAACATGTTGCCAAATCTTCACTTACTTATATTTTACAAAACTTTGTCGTCTGCTAAATTTAAAAAATGAGCAACTTCTTATTCGAATTAATATTAAACAAAACCGTTGACACACTTGAAACAAACACAATAGATCCGTAATAAAATTATCTGTATGCTCCTAGTTTTTTAGAAGGATTGTAAATACAGTTTATTATCTAACATTGAAAACGTTACCCGCTAGAGGCTCAAGGATAGGCTTTGTGTGTTAAAAAGCTGAACTTCAAAACCTTATATCTTTTTTTTGGTACGGCTGAGCTTTTTGAGATTGAACAATATGATAGATTGCTTACTTAAAAATGTATATTCCAAATATGAATAAGATTGTAAATAGACTGAAAATCTCAATAACTACCTTAACTACATAAAAACCAACCCAGTGAATAACAATATTGATTTGGTTCTGTTCTGTGCTGATGTGTTAGGTTCCGCTGCGCACGTCAATTCGATATATTTCTATTATCGATATTTGCTGTCGCTTGATGAGCGCGCGATTCGATACTTCGACAATCGCAATATATTGCGCGCTTCGATATATATTCAGTCCGGCCGTCAGACGCAGTAGACGCGCAACACGGAGCGGAACTACTTTCAAATTATGAGGTAAATCTCGCATTTATTGTCGTCTCGCGCGTAAATGTCATTAATTAACATCGCGCACGCGCCGGGCGATAACGATAACAAGCGAGTTTGACGGTGAAATTGTAACGCGATTGTTCGCGCTCCCGCGAGACACAAAATGGTCAGCGCACGACACGAGAAGTTGAAGATTCGAATTGTCTTGTTATTTCTCGCGTTTATTAACGTATCGCCCGCGAATATTAATAGTGCGCGCGTGTCGCAAACTGACAGGTATACGCATATAAATTGTATCGGGTGTTTAAACAATGTTTAATCAAGTGTTTTTCATGCCGTTTGTAATAGTGTATAAATTCGAGGCTACATATCCAACAAAGTAAAGTAGATGTAGCACAGATTCGAACTTAATATTTCTATACCGTTTAAGGCCTGTTCTACAATACAGTCGTAAGTCGTAAGTCGTAAGAAATTGACCAATCACAATCGATTATTCTTCTGTGATTTATCTGTGATTGGTCAATTTCTTACGACTTACAGCTTACGACTGTATTGTAGAACAGGCCTTATACCTGAAAGTGAATGTCGCTCCGTAGTGTAATTTCTACATCCACTTTTGTAGATATCTAGCACCGAAATCAGCAGTCGAAAGCATAAGAAACTACAATACGATGGGTTCGTTCTCAGATTTCTTTCTGATATATATATGTTGTCAAGCATTCCCATTTTTTCTAATCTCAACTCTAATGTTTCGCGCGGAAGAATCATCGCACACAAAATAGTACATATATGCATATAATAAAACTCTTGACCATATTAGTTTAAAGTTATTATATTGATTTACAGAGCATAATGTACCGACTATCAGTAAGCATCGCGTTTACCAATAGTAAATACCAACGTTGTATCTTTTTAAAGAAAATATAATGTTCAATATACAAATAATTCTAAAAGTGCATATAACTTTTCTAGTACATTTTTATACTGTTTTAAATTATTTACAGATTATAAATGAAAATATTGCGGTTTTTGCTTTTGTAAGAAGAGATTGGAAGCTATTGTCTGAGAGATGAGAGGGAGGGCGTGCGTGTATATGTACGTATATAGTGTAGCATATAAAAACAATTTTACAAATTTATTTATCGCTAAAATCAAAAGTATAAAAACGTTTTAAGGTTCTTTTAAATACAGAAAATATAATGACACACATACACACACATTTTGTATATTATATAGATTTTGTTAATAATTTGATTTTATGCATTATTCTGAAATTTATGCGAGAGAAGTTTAAATAAGATTTAAGAAATATATATAAGAGTGTGTATATTAAAAAGTAATATTCTTACTTTAACAATTTTATTAAACAGAATATAGATATTATTTATTTCTTGTTTTATCTCTTTAGTTTTTTAAATGTATATTAAAACACTCTTTTACATAGAATTAGTTATTGTTTTTTTTCGAAGATATGTATTTTGCACAAACAATACTAGGAATAAAAATAGATATAATTACATTACATTAAAATTTGATATATTCACAAAGTGTGTGTGTGTTTGCATATAATATTGTACATAAAATCTTTTATTTGAATTTATACATATTATTTCAACAAAAAATAAAACAATTATTTGTAATGTTGACTTTTCAGCTTGTCAATACTTCGAATTTTGACACTTATTTTTGTTAATTAGGAATTAAACAACAAACAATTTCATTATTATATAAAAATTGCGATCAGTTAAATTAAGGATAACAAAAAAACACGTTTGATCCTTGAAACTCATTGTTTCACCTTCGATCATTTTTTTAACCCAACGAAGTGTAACGCGCGACGCGCGCAAGCTCCGAACAGGTGAATGAGCACGGGAAGTACACGAATGATGAACGTCGGGGATGCGGGAGACCGATAGAGGATACGGGCGTCGGATGGTGTTGGATCTCTTGACGGGTGCATCGATGTCCACTGGCTCCCAAGGGAAATCCACTTCATGATGGGAATCCCATTATTTCCCGAGCGATATAAAAGTAGGTAGTCCAGTCGTCCACGTGCTGTCCAGTTGAGGCTATTCCGACGGTCGCCCTCCATCCTCCCGCGCCACATTGAGGCTCTCTTTTTCTCCGTTTCCCTTTTCCTTCTTTTTTATAGTCTATTTCTCTCTTTCTTTCTTTCTTTCTTTCTTTCTCTCTCTCTCTCTTTCTCTTTCTCTTTTTTTTCTCTTTTTCTCTTCACTTGCACTGCTACTATCGTCTTCTCTCGTTTGCTTCCAGAGCTCGCTCTGTTCTCCGTTCATTCGCAATCCATTTGACTCGAGTTTGTTTCTCGAAGGCGAAAGATTCCACAAAGGATCATTTTTAGTATAGATTAATACTATATATTTACTTATACCCGCGAGATTCGACTCCATGTATACATTCTGATAAATTCAAACTTTCCTACTTTTCGATTGAAAAATAGGAACACTTTCTTAATTCAACTACCGAACTTCTTTCGCAATGTTTTAGTTTAGAATAAACTGTGATAGGATAATAGTTTTTTTTTTTTACACACAAGATTACTTTTATTAATAGCAACAGTAAAAGAACGAAACAAAACTTCGATGTGATCTAGAGTAACGTAGACAAGTAGCCGTGTATCCATCATCTTTACTCTTAATTGTTTTAACTTAGACGTCATATTTTTCTGACATATATCTTTACAATTTAGTT